AAATACTGCTTTGCTATTCTTTCCGTATGCTAAATTCCTCTATTTTGCAGATAGCGAGCTAAGTACACGCTGCCGCAGCTGCACAGCCGTAACTCATCAAAGTATACCAATTCAGTGAGGTTTGACTGTGTGCCCACATCCTCCAAAAAACCTCATGATAGGCACAAACCGTGTCGGTGGCCTCTTGACTCGCTGCTCTGCTGCATTATTGAGATGAGAGCTGCTGAGAGCCATGGCCAACAGCATTAAGGGCCCTGCAGAGCATCTGATTGCCAGCCACACAATGCTGTAAATGGGCCAGGACGGATGTTTTGGATAGGAGCCAACTCACCATAAACGCCAGCCAAGGAAGCTGGTTTGTGACTTGCCCCTTGGTGAATGCACCTTTATTCAGTGAACAATTAATATACCTAAAGTAAACAGAGAGACAAACAGACAGGCTCTGCAGTGGTGTGAAGAGGTGAAAATACACAGGGATGATAAAGAGAAAAAAAAAAAAAAAAATTCTGCAGTCAGCCATAAAAATTCCCACTTCCCACTGGCTCTTTTACAGAGAATTGTTTTTCTCTTGTGAACAGTAAACAATGAAGGCAGGTTTTGTAGCTGGGTGAAGGGCGCTGAAGCAGTGTCAGGGTCTGATCAGAAAGAGTAAGGTGCTAAGCGTCATATGAGGTATGCAGACTGGAAGCCAGAAGTATCAGTGCTCTTCTGCTGTTATAAACACTGGAATCACCCCAAGTGATTGAGCCCTTGCCAAGTAATTCACCACTCTGCGGACAGACTCTGCTTCTTGTTCGTGTTTGCTGATCTGATGCAATTCCTAGAGCTTAGTGGTTTAACAGAACTTCTTGTGAGACACTCGATTTATCACTGATAAATCACTGATGAAATCTAAAGTTCAGTTATAAAGTGAGGGCTCATCCACAGCCGTATAAAAGGCTTTCCCCTGGCTTAGAAATACACCAGTGAAGATACCTAAAACAGTAAACTCCTGCACAACTCCTGCACCACTCAGCCTTTGTTTCAGGCTTTTGCTTTTAAGGCATAATTATTGTTCCCGGTTAATTATGGAAAAGATATGTGTATCATTCCTACCACTCCCAATCAGTCTCATCCTATCCTCCACCAGCTCTCAGCTCCTTTATGCACACAGCAAAGAAGTTAAACTCAGCAATGAGCTTCTCCATTTTAATAAAAACATTTTCTGTTTTCAGTGCTGCCAGTGCCATTGCCTCCTTTGCATAAAATAGATCAGTGGATGGATGCTGTATAGTTGCTGTCTTAGGATGTTTCAGGGGTCCTTTGTATTTGTTCTTCAAGCAATGCCCCAAAAGCAGTGAATTTTCACCCTTTTCTGTTCAAAATCTTTGCAAATCTTCTTTTTGTTTCACTGAACAGTATGTTTTACATATGGAGGTGATGATGACTAGTGATAGGAGAAGGGGGAATGACTTTAAACTGAAGGATTGTAAGTCTATGTTAGATATTAGGGAGAAATTCTTTACTGTGAGGGTGACAAGGCACTAGAACAGGTTGCTCAGATAAGCTCTGGATGCCCCATCCCTGGAAGTGTTCAAGGCCAGGTTGGATGGGGCTTTGAGCAACTTGGTGTAGTGGACGGTGTTTCTGCCCGTGGCAGGGGGTTGGAACCAGATGATCTTGAAGGTTCCTTCCAACCCAAACTACTTTGTGATCCTATGATTCTATGACTTCCTTTCCTTGCAGGTGTGGGCTGAGGACAAACCCTACGAAAAATTTTTTAAGTATTCAGAATGATTATGGATCTGTGTTTGAGGCAGGATCTCCAACTATTTACTTTTCAGCTAGTAAGTAACAGATGATGCAAACAACAACCTCTGCAAGCAATTTTTTGATCTGGACTAGAATGTGTGGGACTACACTACAAATCTTTTTATTCCCCATACCTGCAGTGCTCATCACACAAGCTTTTGAAATCTGTCTTAGACATCTCAGTGCACATCAGTCCCAAATCTCTAACCCAATGCATTTCCCAGCACACCACTTGAATAGGAGGTTTTACCCTTTGATCCCAATATGCACAAAACCTAGTAAGAAATCTGTGGGGCAAAGCACTACCTGATTATTCCTTTGTGTGTATCTGTTATTTCCCAATAATAGATACAGTGCTGCTACTCTGGATCCTGACCCCCATTATACTGATACAATGCAGCAGCTCCACTGACTTTCTCATTTGTGCCATCAGAAAGGTGCTGCAGTATGAACTGTGGCCCTGCTATGCATTCATCTTTCATTTCCATGCATTTCTTGACTGATACCAGAGTGAGGGTAACCCAGCACAGTTCAGCCTTCACCTCTTCTTGGCATGATTTATCTGCATTATACAGCAGCTCTAGGAGAGATTGCTCTCATTTATACTGTGATCCAGCAAATTTTCTCCTCAAACTAACTCAATACCTTTAAATAGAAGCAATACCTGAGCAGAGAAATGAAAAGAAGGGTCAAAACAGTGAGAAACAAAATGCCTGGGCATCACAGCATTCTCACTGTAACCCCATTTTCACTGTGATCTTTATAAAGGCTACAGACACTACGCCTCTGGGATCTTGTTGCTCTGACATTGTTATATGTGTGTTTTGATTAAAAAATGGAAATGTATGGATGTTGTTTATGGCTTGCATAATGGTGCTGGAAATCTGGTCAGATGGCTGAAATGGGATGGTTTGAAATGATGGTTGGTTTGAAATGGAACATAAACCTCAGCATAACCTTTGGTCACCTTTGTGCTAAAAATTGAAGAGATGAGCTGGTTTGTCTTCCTCCCAAACTCCATTTTAACACTTAATAGGCTGCCCATTGTTATATGAAAGTAGTGTTCTAATTGCAATTAGTAGTTTAGGGGAATTTTAATTGCAATGTAGTGGGGAGCACTACCTCTAGATAACACTTTTATCAGTGTGGCATTACTTGAATGACAAGCAGTGATGGGTGGCTTCTTCTGATTTAGGTAAATTTGCTCCTAAAGAAATAAAATTAAATTATAATAGAGCACTCTTAAACAAACAAACAAAGAAACAAAGGAAGAGAACTACCTATTAAGGTGGCTTGTCTTGCCTGTTATAGGAAAACAAATGCAGACAGGAACATACAAAATATAATATTTCGAGCAGGTAAACACTGGCAAGAGAGAAAAGCAACTGAACTAGTATAAAATGGTATGAATAATTTGAGACTGAAAACGAGATGAACATTTCTAGGCATCTGAAGAATGAAGCAACTGTTTCCAGTAAAAGAGATGAGAGCAAGGCACCAATCTGGCTTCAAGACAAAAAGTTTATCCCTGTCTGTAGTGAGAGTCGGGATTTGGTGAGGCAGTAAGGTCTTGGGAACAACAGGGCATGGTTCTCAAGAATTTGGACAATTTCCTTTCTGCAGTGTTAGCATCAAGATAATTTTCAGTGCAAAAAAAAGGAACAGAATAATGAAAGGGAGGAAAGAAGAGAGGGAGAAGGAAGGGAGGAAGGAGGGGAGGAAGAAGGGAAGGAAGGAAGGGAGGAGGGAGGAAAGAAGAAGTAAAAGGAAACAAGAAATTAAAAGAAAACAAAAGAAAAAGTGACAGAAAAATGAAAGTAAAATGTAAAAGAGAGAGCAGAGAAGAAAAGAGAGAAAGAACAAGAAAGAAAGAAAGAAAGAATAAAAGAAAGAAAGAAAGAAAGAAAAAAGAAAAAGAGTAATAACCTTTTAAACCAAAACCAGCTAACCTAAAGCCCAGATGACTTCAGAGAAGCTGATTTACTAAGGCTTTCTAATGTTTCACATAATCAATTGCATCTCACCATTGCTTGACTATTGTTTAACATACAAGAGCAATATAGTTCCAGACCTTGCTTGGGGCAGGTAATGATGGTGTGTTTGTGTGGGATGGAGTAGTAATTCATTTCAGACGTGGAGGTAATTCATTGCAGACATTTTTTAAGAGAGTTAGGGGAGAAAATAAAATGACAGATGATTTTACAATAGTTCAGGATTATTTTTTTTTTTGCTGCTGACCCTGGAACTGGTAATAGCAGGAAATGGAAAGATTAGCATAAAGAATGGTCATTGATACTTGGGGTCTGATAGCCATTTTTGCTGAGCTCTATACTTATTTTGAAAGGAATGAAGCATTAAAAACAGCCAAGGTTTTCTTTCTTGCACATAAACTGTCTTACTGATCTTATGGAAAGTGTAAAATGGGTGAACAGGAATTATGCCAAAGGGTTTCACAGGAATAACTCTGAACTCAAACAAAACATGACAGAGAATTGGGTATTTTTCTGTTCTAAATTGAGTAAGATTTCTCAGAAACCTATAGAGAAGCCATCCCTTTCCATTAAATTGTTTATTTTTCCATGTGAGAAGAAAGGATTGATTTTGTTTGTTGTCTGTTTAGTAATAAAATTGGTTCTGCACATAAATAAAAAGAGTGGATATTCATACCCAGACAAATAGTCTAAATAATAAGAATGTAGAAACGAAATTGTTCTATGGAAGCCAGAGATGGCATTTATGGGAGAATAAAAGGAATCCACCTAAAAAATGATAAGAATCAAGATGATCTTTTAAGATGTGGCCTCAGAATTTGTTTACTGAATGGACAAGTGACCATTAAAGGATATTGTGGGAATTATGATTTATTAAGTTAGGTTCAGCTCTATGGTGCAAAACAGTCTGTCCAGGCAATACCAAGTCCACCAGAATTACTCCATATTGAAGAAGAACAGAAGTGGTTTAGGGTCATTCACACCTGATCCGCTCAAGTCAGCCAGCAGGTTTATGTCCTGCAGCTTAACTTCACTTCTGACAATCTAGATGGCCCTTTTCCCTATCACCATTCTGAACTTACTGGGCAACTTTAGTGATGCCACAGGTAATCTACAGCCCTTTTACATAGATCTACAGGTTAAATAAACAAAACAGGTGATGCGAATTGAAATATATATGTATATAACGTTGTATTCATCCCCTTTTTCTAACCACAGGAGCCTGGTATGAAAATCACTCAAGGAAGGATTGATGTACCTTAATTTGGAGGGAATATCATCAATGGATGACACAAGCTGGATAAGTGTTAACAGTTGCACTGAACCAAGCAGTTAACAAAACTGATGTGATTAATAATAATAGACAACTACTTGCATGACTTTGAGACTTTAGAGCTGTGAGTTCCTAAAGGAGTCAAGGTGAGGAGATACTGGATAAGGAAATGGGAACTCCTGAAAATGGTTATTTTTCTAGTCTTGCTGTCAAGTCTAGGAAAACCCTGCAGTGTTCTCACCATAATGTGAAAAATAAAGTGGTCAGATGTTATATGGCTGTCTTAATTGTGGTAATTGTGCATTTTTTTCCAGGCACAAAGAAGGATGCTGCTGCTTCTACATTAAAGGGAGAATGAGTTTTATGAGTCATAAAAGAGAATGAAATACCGGAACCTTAGTTCACTTGCTGTAAAAAAAAAGAAAAACAAAGAAAGAAAAAAGTAAAAAAGAAAAACAAGTGAGGACTTTCAGGGCTTATCCTGAAAAATATGGAAACTGGAGGTGTTCAGTAGCTCTCTGGACCAGGCTTTTTGTCAGGGAGTAGCACTGATGACAAAACACTTTGAGCTGAGGATTCATCCCAGCATCCCTAGAAACAAGGAACAGAGGTGTTACTGTACCAGGGCTAACTAGGACATCACTTAGGAAGGGACGGTCCCCTTTGCAGCAACCAAGGCATAACACGTCTCCCAAGAAATGTACAAAAACATGTGTTCCCAGGAAATTTCTTCCTTTTCTCATATGCTGTTCACTTTAAAGTCTATTTCTACAAACACTTGCTGCTTGACTTCCTTCCTGTCACCACAAGGAGTCCCATTTAATTAACCTGGCAGCCTAAGGTGGTGAAAATAGATTGCAGCTTGTAAGTGTGGAGATTGACAGTCTCTGCAAGCTGCTTTGGTTTGCTTAGCTACAGCAGTTATTGTTTCTCAATTATTTTGATGGTATGATTCCAGGTTGTACATCCAGTGGCCTGGCTGCAGCTGCAACAGTAGTTGAGGACAGGGAGGGAGTGGGCTGTGTGTGACATGGAGCATCAGCAGTTCACTCCTCCACGTCTGTGTTATATTGGGTAGGGAATTGCCTCTGGCTAACGACAAGCCTTCTTAACATTTTCCTCTGAGAAAACAGATGATCAAATGCAAGAAAGCCTACTCATTAAAACAAGTCCTGGGAAGGTTTTGTTCTTTTCAGACTCATCCCTGTGTTTGAGTACCTAGAGAACCAAGAGTACCTATATTGACTGAATATAGCATCTGTTTACCATCAGCTTTGTCTGAAACTACTCTTTTTTTTCCAAGTTAATGAAAATGGAGTTTGAAAACTGGTTCTGATTAGGCAGGTCAAATAGTGAAAATACACTCTAAGGCCAGAATATACCTCAGGATCCCATTGTAGAGCAAAACAGCACATAGAAATCACCAGAAGAGCAGAACATCAAAGCAGATGGGAGTGGCCTACTGGGTGCTACTGGCTCTGGAGGTGCTGCCATGGTGCTGCAAAGGAAGGTGCAAAATTTGTGGATGAAATTCAGCCATATGAATTTCTTTGCTAGATGGCCAGGCAGTAGAATTAGACCCTGGGCAAATATAAAAGAAGATAAAAAAGCCCCCCCCTTTTAATTTTTAAGGAAGTATTGTGTGGTGCACAAGAGTGATGGCGGCCCCAGCAAAGGTTTCTTTTCTGCATTTCTTTCTGCCTACTTCACAGTCAATTGCTATACTCCACTAGAGTATTTTCTTTCCCACTGCTATGAAGATAAATTACCTATTACCAAAGTAGCTATAAGGAAGGGAAAAAAATAGTGTCTTTTCCATCACAATGCAGTCAAGTTCTGTTGTAATTGGCAGCACAGCATGGTGGGTATGCCACTCCCGCCAGGTCCCTTGCCCAGCTAATCGAGGTCTGTTCTTTGTGTAAGATGCTGCTATTTGTGTTGGTCCATGTGAGTTTTTCAGTCTCTTTTTAGGGGCTGCCTTTCCTTTCCCTCACAGGAGATGGGCAGCCAGGGGGAGGAAAGGCAGTTGTCATCTCCATTTGCTGGAGTTAGTACTGCTGCAGTGAACGTGATTCCTTCTTATATGTTTGTGCACTTTTGTGGGTGCTGCAGGGTGAAACTGTAAATTCTAGTTATAAGAATAAAACATGATGTGCAGGAGAAGCAGGTAAGACAGAGATGTTAAACACCGGTATTTGGACGGCTGGGTGGGTGGGCATGTTACATGAGCTTGGCAGAGATATAGACAACGTGCAGCTCCTACTTTGGGGTTCAGGGGCAGGATCCAGAAATTGTGATGTCTGGACTTCTGTGCATATCTATATCAAGAAAGTGAAAACCTGTAGCAAGTAAGTCAGAAAGGGACTTTTAGCAAGGGTATGTTTTGACAAGGGGAAATGGCTTTAAACTGACAGAAGGTAGAGTTAGATTAGATATTCAGAAAAAATTCTTTACTAGGCTGATGAGGCACTGAAAGAGATTACCCAGAGAAGCTGTGGCTGCTCCATCCCTGAAAGTATTCAAGGCCAGGTTGGATGAGGCTTTGACCAACCTGGTCTAGTGGAAGGTGTCACGGCAGGGAGATTGGAACTGGATGATGTTTGAGGTCCCTTCCAATGCAAACCATTGTATGACTCCATGATCTATTCCAGCTGATACCCCATTCTGACTGGCCTGTCTCTCTGTTACACTCCGAGGGGGTGCCTGTATATATATCTATACTGATGTCAACTGGCCCATATCTAGGCTTCTTGTGCTCATCTGGCACAGTCAACTTGGCCACCTCAGAGAAGACCTGAAGCCATGCGTGGCTCACCAAGAGCCTACTCATACCTTTGTACCTCCTTGCCATACCTGCTACATTGCCAGCTGAGTCTTGTTATGATTTTGTCTTTCTCCTGTTAGCAGCTTATATAGGCTGAGCTGCACTGCTAGGGATTTTGTTTGGATCCCTCACATAGGTGACCAGGAATATGAATGTCTCCCTGCTCCATACATCTGAGGTACAAGGTGATCAAGCACTGGAACAGGCCATGGAAGTGGGTAGGCATGCCTGGATGTATTTAAAAGACGTGTAGATGTGCCAGTTAGGGACATGGTTTAGTGATGGGCTTCGTAGTGCTGGGTTAATTATTTGACTTGATGATCTTAGAGGTCTTTTCCAACGCTAATGATTTTCTGATTCTAAAAGTGTTTTGTTTTCTTGTCTCCCAGAATCACATCAGATCCACAGGCTGTCTCTTTTACATTACTCAGCCTGGAATTGTTTCTTCCTCCAGCACACAGAAAGTTGCTTTAGAAGAAATATTTGAAAGAAAAGCTCCTTTTCCAGTGTCTACTATAGTGCAGGTTTCTCCACTGAGTTTGTCTGTGAGGAGTCAAGGGTCCTGAATATTTTATTGATATCTGACTAGAGCCAGAATTTGGAAATGCCATGACTAGACCAAAACATGTGTTTGAGAAGTCATAAGATATCCGTTCCAAGTTTTACAGAGAAAGCTAATCTTCAGATTTAATATAAAAATTGAGTTTAATCCATTATTGTCATTGACTTAAAAACTGTGTAACACTTTCTGTATTGCTTTACCTCCAATACAGACACACACAGATTATTCCACTTTATATGTGCAGAATATTTGAGACTTATTGGAAGTTACAGAAAAATCCGAGGTTTATCTGACACAAGAATGCAGTCAGCATGTACACACATCTTTGGGGATTTAAATGCATTTCTTTTTAGCGAGTTTTAATTTGCATCCGTAGAAAAATTGAGACTCACTAGGAAGGATTAGCTTATTGTAATATACCAGGTGAGATGTAGGGTGGCTGCGAGATTGAATAATGTAATTTAAATTTTGTAGTGTAAGTGCAAACATGAGACGGGGATGTATATACAGGAAAATCAAGTCCAATATAAATTGTATAACAGTACCAGAGAAGAGAGCTGCAGGACTCATGAAATGTAAGGGCTTTCTTTGAAAATAATAATGTTAGTCAGTTCATTAAGTAAACAGAAGTGAATGGAGTATTTGATGTAATATTTTAAATAGTACTGGAAAGAGTAAAATAATCACAAGCTAAGAGCAAGGGTAGTTCAGTAAATTGCATGCACAGATTTCTTTTTATCCATTTCTTGCTTGTGTCCAACACAAAGAAGGTTAAAAAAATTAACCCTTATTGCAAAGAATTATTTCAGTATGCAGAGGTGTAGAATCTGGTGGCATTGTTCTGATCCATGTCTATGTGCATGTCTAGGTGATCAGGTATATGTATGTCCTTCATTGTAACAGAGAAATATGATTTTTTTTTAAATAAAATCTGCCATTCACCAGAGTATAGAGCCAAATTCCCAAAGGAAAAGGAACAATCTTTGTAATGTGTTACAAAACAAGAAAATACATTTATTTCCACTCCAGAGAGGTGTTATGACCCCGCAGAAAAATTAAAGGGGTAATTTCAAGAACCTATAGAAATCCATGGGAGAAAATGAGCCTTCACTGCAATAAGTATGAAATCTTACAGGGCCACAAACAATACAAACTCTCCCTTCTCCAACCACTTTAAATCTATTTATTGTCTTTTTCAAATGTATTAACCAAAGTAATAAGCTTATCTCACTTGGAAAAATAAAAGGCATAAACACTGTTATATCCTTGAGTAAAAGTGCTCTCTCAATCCGCTGTGGTCAATTGCCAGCCCCTGCACCCCATGCTGGCAAAAAAAGAGTCACAGAAGAGGAATGCCTTATGCACAGAGGGAGACCGTCCTGAAGGGTCTCCATCTCCCTCTCTGCAAAGTGAAATTCGTCGCAGGAGGCTCTAATTATCCTATGGCAAATTAAATGGCAAAAGCAGCATGAGCCTCTAAGACTCTGCTGTAGAGTGGAATTTTTAGTGGGGTTTTTGTTGTTTTGTTTTTATGTTCTGGCTTAATGCACAGCTCATCATTACCAGGCACTTGGTTATGCCTGTGCATTGCAGCCTGGGTGAAGAATCACATGGATGTGATCAATATTTCAGTACCTGAAGGGGTCCTACAAGAAAGATGGAGATGGACTTTTTATAAAGGCATATAGTGACAGGACAAGGGAAATAGCTTTAACATGATAGAGGGTAGGTTTAGATTAGATATTAGGAAGAAATCTTTTACTGCGAGGACGGTGAGCCACTGGTAGAGGTTGCCCAGATAAGCTCTGGATTCCCCATCCTTGGAATTGTTTAAGGTCAGGTTGGATGGGGCTTTGAGCAATGTGGTCTAGTGAGTG